ATATGATGGAATATGCGTACACCTGTGTTCCCCCTCACTGGAATATGATTGGCTGGTGTCCGTCATAAATACAGACGGACGTGTAGGTACGACAGAGTCAAAGAGCCTTAGTCTGAGAGCCAAGTCTATAACGACGCCCATTGGACTACGCCATTGATCTACACTTCTTACCAGCGACTACGACGCGTACCAGTCGATTACTGCTACCGTATTCTGCTTGGTTATAGTAGCCAAAACAACTTAGCTACTTCGTTCAAATATATCCCTTTCCGGGACATATCAGATAGATATATATATAGATAGATAAGGAAAAATCAAGATAGATAGATAGATAAGGAAAAATCAAGATAGATAGATATATAGATAGATAGATAGATAGATAGATAAGGAAAAATCAAGATAGATAGATAGATAGATAGATAGATAGTGATATAATGGAATATCCATACACCCGTGTTCCCCCTCACTGGAGTGTGATTGGGTGGTGTCTGTCATAAATACCGACGAACGTGTAGGAGAGTCAAAGAGTCTTAGTCTGAGAGTTAAGTCTATAACGACGCCCATTGGACTACGCCATTGATCTACACTTCTTACCTGCGACTACGACACGTACCAGTCGATTGCTGCTACCGTATTCTACTTGCTTATAGTAGCCAAAACCACTTAGCTACTTCGTTCAAATATATCCCTTGCTGGGACATATCAGGACGCTTAAGAAAAGTGTCTAATATTGAGAAGGATATCCGAGAAAAGGCCTAAACTAATATCTTGTGCATCATATAAAACCACAGGACACTTGACTGATAATGTGAGGTCTCAAATGAAAGACATCTATTTTTCCAGTTTATTGAAATATTTAAAATCTATGAATCACGTGATGCACAGAGTGTAGTGTAAATAACCTGTGATTTGTACAATCTGTACATCACATGTGATGCACAGGTTTTTTTTTTATTATGTGAGTCACTATATATCAGCATATTATATTTTCCCAAATAAGTCGACTTGCCTTGCATTAGTTATAAATCTGAAGACAAGCATGAACATTTGGATAGTACATCCGAAAATACCCTGGACAAGCAAAGGGTTAAGATGTAGAAAATAGAAGTTTATTCTATTTCCTTTTACCAAGACTGGCATAAAATTTAGAACAGATTTCAGGGCTGGAGAAAAACTGCTGACCAATGTGACCAACATTTTACTAAGTGAATATTTTATAAAGTAAACGGAATATTCAAAGAGACCAACATTGTGTAATTTTGAAGCATACATATTTTTTTTTTTTTTTTTTTTTTTAAGAATTAACATGTCTTTTCGGGAAAACAGTTTTCTTTTGCCTGGTTTTCTTGATTATCTCTGAATTGCCATACGTTCTTGTTTAAAGATAGTGGGATGGTTCCGCGTGCATTTCCCACCGTTTTCGAATTCAGAGTTTTTCTTTTATTAGGTTGGTTGCAAACCCAAGGTATGTTCCAATCTATTCTGCTATTAAATCCAGAGCTGGATTTGGGAACCGGAATTTATAACACTTCCGGTGATATTTAAGCGGAAGTTACCGCAACGACATTTGACGTAATGTGAACATGTCCAGCTGACCCCGTTTTCTCACTTCCGCTGATCTCTACGCTAGGCTCGCACCCGCATACATTTAATCTATTTTCAAGTAATTGATTCATTCAGTCACATATTTCAGCCCTCGATATTTTTGGAGAAAGTCGATTTTTCTAAAAGACCGTAATTTTACAAGCACTTAAAAATCGAAGTTACATTTGATGGTTTGAAAGATGATTGCATTCAACACTTTTCTACTAAAAGCGTTGCCTTCTCCCCCGAGTGAGATTTATAAAATATTTGCAATATTAATCACAATGCGAAGAATCGAGCGTCACCCAGAATGTTTCTTTGATTCATTATGGTCAAGGCAAGAAATGGTCTAAAGGAATTAGTTGACATTTGCATTCGGCTCTGTGTGATGCCAGACGCGCGCTTGATCCTTTGTGTTGTAGGACGCGAAGGAAATTCTTTACGGACCACCACAGGTTAGGCCAATTTGAAATTAAAATTAACTCACTCTCATTCTCTCTCTTAGAGAATTTAGCGGATCTATTTTGCATTACTGACAATAAGCCGAAAGAACATCAGCCATGTTTGGTTTCAATTAATTCACAGATATTTATCTCTTGTTAACTATCCAAAGATGAACTTGTATCTCGATTTTGGGGGTCGTCAAACCAGTGTTTCCAAGACTGATAAAAATAAGGCTCTTAACTGCTTTTGTTAGATTCGTATTCTACGACGTATCGACCATTTCCAGGATATGTAAAGCCAGAAAAACATTTTTTTAGATCGTAAGAATTTTTTTGTTCATAATAATGGTTTAGTGATACAAATCTTACTAATTAACCCATAGCTGGAGGAGAAGAGGTGTATTCATACATTTCCCAAAGGTATTTGCGCGTAATTTAATATAATGAACCCGACCAGAACTGGAACTACGCACACCGAATTTCAATTTCTGACTTCATTACACCAACCGCACCTCCAAGATTACAGAACCTGTTATTCTCAAGTGGTTACCCTTCTACGTACTGACCAGTCTCAAGTTTGCTTAACATCGGTGATCATACAGGAACTGGCGTTTTCACATGATGTGGCCGTAAGCCTCTTAAGAGCTCTGTTAGAAGTACATTTTTCTTGTTTAAATTTTATTAATATACTAGCAGTAGAGCCCGGCGTTGCCCGGGGATGTAACAGTAAGAGATAGATCAAGTATCGACCATCATAAAGACTGAAAAATAAAATTGACAAAGATTATTGTTTAAGGTTGACGGACACGCATGTCTTAATTAGTATTTTTTTTTTTTACGAATTGGTCAAACCCAAACTCAACCAAAAACATTGTTTTCAATCGTTATGAGTCCACCGATTGAATAGAATTTTATTATAAACAATTGTCTTGTAAATGGAATTTTTAAAGCATTCTGAATGCAAAAATAAAGAAAAAAGTGTGCAAGACAATTAGAAACACTACCTGCCAAAAAAAGAGTGAAATTTTGTTGAAATCGGTTGAAAAATGTAGGAAATCCGATACCATATATAAACGAATACAGACATACATAACCAACCTGGGTTTTATAATAAGTATAACTCGATATAAGTTGTCCCCCCTTTCATTTTGGCGACTTAATCGTGTTTTCAAATTGATTTCGTGCAAAAACAATTGTGTTTTTCCAATTTTTGGCCCTGTCAGAACCACCACAAGGTAATTTTACGTAGTCCTGTGAAGTTTTGTTGAAATCGGTTGAAAAATGTAGGAAATACGATCCCATATATAAACGAACACACACACACACACACACACAATCTGCGTTTTATAATAATAAGTAAGATAAAAGAAATGTAATAGCTGTATTTACATATTAGAGAACAGGTAAAAAAAAAAAAAAAATAGTCTTTCAAAGTTTGATTTTCTTGGCACAACCACTTTAAATATTGATGCAACGTAATGATCATATCAAAAAGTTGGTCTTGAACCGTCTCCGAAGAAGTTTAGTAAAATCAATAATTCCGTCTTAGGACTGTAAAATCAATAATTCGGTCTTATGACTGACCAAATTGTTAAACATAAAATCTCGGATTCTACGAGCAATAGGACAAAACGTTAATTGTAAGAGAATAAAATGTATAGCTGTGAGCAAGAGAAAAAGCCCAAGATCACAGTTACGGATTGTAGACGTCTGCTCAGGCACCTACCCTTTAATATATCGTTATAATCGACTCTGCCATTCATATGTCCCTTTCCTTACCATCAATAAAAGCATTACCTTAGTCTAATGAAGTCCTTCTAGAGGAAGAAACGCATTACACAGATTTTTCCACTTTGTCCTTCATTTGCCTCATAAAGAAAATGTGAAGTTACTGATTATAGTAAATATTTACGGGTCTTTAATTTAGTTCCTATCTTGGGGCACCGAGTAAGAGTCGAACTCATTACAGTCAAAAATGGTAAATGTCTTCAAGATTAATTTGCGAATGCGGAGGCAGCACGCAATTCCATCATGTAATTACCATCCAAAACCTTTCCAAAATAAAATAAGCAGATCTCACAGACACAGACAGAAAAAATGTCGGGAATACCAAAGTATTTATGGAAAGCACTACGAAACCACTAACCATCGATTGCAAGAATGTATCGCGTCAGCGAGAGGGACAGCTTAAGATGTGAATTACCAACTGATGTTGAAATCAAGCAAGAACACAAGTTTGGCGCAAACAATGACAGCGCAATAGGAATAGCAAAATATACCCCCCCCATAAAGTAAGCAAATGATTACAGGAACAGGAAAAACATTTGTTAGAAATCAAGAAAAGTGTGCTGAACCGCTATATAATGTCCATTCCTCGATAAGGCAAATATTACGGGAAGTTGCGAAAGTTGATGTAGTTCGCTAAAGAAATGCAGAGAATAACCTAGATTGGGCATGTGATCAACAAGGAAGTTTTAAGGGAAAAATCGAAAGCAAAAAGGACAATGGTCTTTAGGCTCAGAAAGAGACAGTTGAACTTTCTCAGACACATAATGGCAAAATAACTCCGGGAAAATGTAACACTTGCAGGAAAAATTGAAGAAAAGGTCTACAGAGGAAAACATGACTAACAAGCTTGTGCAAATGGATGGCAGAACAGCTACTACGATTGATAGTAAAAAGACAAACATTCCTAAGTGCTACGAGGGATAGGAAGTTGTGGAGAACCTTAATCGCCATCGTTTTGTAGAGACACGTAGCAAATAAAAAGAGAAAGTAAATAAAATATTACTTTTTGTACTGAAAGTTACCAAAAGAGGCAAGAGATTTTATATTATTTATATAGTTCGGACTACATCTTTGTAGTCATGTTAACGACGTTTCGGCCGTTTTATGCCCCGGCCTTCAGGTTATTGGTGATGAGTACAACAGTTCGAACAATGTAAATAATATAAATTATTACAATACCTCATGTCAAAAATAGAGACATCGGCAAGAGAGTCAAACTTCACATCTTGCAATCTCTTCTCTATCAATGAATCAAATCTCGCAATTTCTGAGTTGTTACGTGTTAGAAATTTTAACAAAGAACAAAAAATGATTTATCAAAACACAGAGTTAAATCACAAACAAAAAATTTAATTTCCAAAAATACAAGATAAAATATATACAAGATATACAATTGTGACATACAAAAACAGAAAACAGAGTTTACTGGCTAAGTGTTACGAAGGAGAAGGAAGATGAGTCAAGTATCTTTATCACGTTAGGGCTAGCGAAGTAATCAAAGTGATATTACTGGAAATCCACAAATGTGAAAATATGTAGATTGGTTTTTAGTTTGGTCAATGAAAATAGTCAAAACTATTTACCAGATCTTTTCCATAAGGTTCTCTTTTGGGTTTTTGTTGGTCGGCACCTTTTCTTAGAGATTCTTTCGGCTGGATATATTAATCCTCGAATCAAAAAAGCCGGAGTTGATAATGGCAGAAATTCCTTTTTCAAAACTAACAACTCTTTTTTTTTAAAAAACCTATTTTTATAGGGGGCTAGCAACTAATTAGCATTTTTCTAGATGTTTCTCGAATCATCTAGATTTTTCTCGAATATACTGGAATGATCTAGAATCTTCCAAACATTCTATTTTCTAATTTCTCTATTTTACAACTACTTCATGAATGAAAACGTTTTTGTATTAACAAGTAGGACTCAGTGGAATCCCTTACTATAGAAATGCATCCTCGTAACAATAATGAAAAATGATGTTTTCTTTTAATGATAATATTGCCAACAGGGTTGAAAAATCTTAGAAAACGAGCATAGATTTATTTATTTTTTATCTACAGTGTAACCCGGATATAAGAGAGTTGTCGGGACCGGAGAAGACGTCTCTTATATCCGGGTTTCTCTTATATCCGGGTTTGGTCTATTTTATATACATTGACACAGGCTCTAATTTGGGACCAGAGAAAATCTCGCTTATATCCGGGTTTCTCTTATATCCGAGTCTCTTATATCCGGGTTACACTGTAATTAAATAAACTTCAAATTCTCTCTATCCGTCCGTATGCCTGAAACGCCTCTAACTCGAGCCATACTTACTCTATAAAGAAATAGTATACCATTTTGGAATCGGGATGATCCTGGAATTGAAGATCTGCCCTTCATCTTGTGCTTGAATATCCAGTATTGGGATTTGTGCTCAGATGAGGCGGGGACAGTTAAAAATTCAAATTTTAAAATATAAAAAAAAAATATAATAAAAATAATTAGTGATTTTAAAGTTTTTTTTTTAATGCATATTGGGTTTAAAGTAACACAAAACTTTGTAAATTTAAAATTTTTGTTTTAAATTCAGTTTCTGAATTGAAATCAATTTTATTTCTTCAAAATGCCAAAGAATCAGTGTTAAACTGAGAGGTTTTGTAACGTGAAGTTTTGAAGTTCTGCACAGTTTGTGATTTGAGGAACATGCTTTTTCGGCTTGAATTGAAATTTTTGCCCAAAATCGATCTTTCAAAGCAAATCGGAGTTTCGGCTCAAATCGGAGTTTCGGCTCAAATCGGAGTTTCGGCCCAAATCGGAGTTTCGGCTCAAATCGGAGTTTCGGCCCAAATCGGAGTTTCGGCTCAAATCGGAGTTTCGGCTCAAATCGGAGTTTCGGCCCAAATCGGAGTTTCGGCCCAAACCGGAGTTTCCGACGAAATCAGTCTTTTGGCCGAAATGTGAATTATAGCCCTAATCAGAGTTAAAGACAGGTTTTGTGTTCTTATGGATTGAATTGAAGAATTCAAAGTTATTTGTCTAGATTTCTGAGATGAGGTATTATGTACAGTATTTACATTAGTCTGACTATCCTCATCTTTGTCGCCATATTTGTCACAACGTTTCGGCCGTTCTGAAAGTTCTCCACTGCCTTAACCGGGTATTGGATAAAGGCGTTGGTTAGATCCAGTGACAGGACTCAAAGAGTGTGAGTTCAATACCCGGTTAAGGCAGTGGAGAACTTTCAGAGGGAAAATTAGCAGGAGATAACTGATAACTGACATCCATCAACCATGGCACGTAGAACTAGAACAGTCTACCCCAGTGATCGAAATAAAGGGTTCAGTTCCAAATTCCAACCACCTGAAGAAGGCTGGAGCGTACAACGGCCGAAACGTTGTGACAAATATGGCGACAAAGATGAGGACAATAGTCCGACTAATGTAAATACTGTCAAAGTTATTTCTTCTAAATTATCATTACTGTTTTCTAAGCTGAACCATAAATCCCTTTAGTATAGGGCGTAACTAGCTTAAAGGTCCTTATGGAGTGCGGCTTTTAAGCTGATCTATGTATATATAAATGGCAATTTCTGGCTGTTTGTTTGAATCAAGTTGCCGACTAAACCCGTGAACCAGTATTGATGAAACTTTACATACATGTTAAACTAACATCCAGTTTGTTACTAGGCTAATTTTTTTTTTTAAAGAAAAATCTATAATGGGACCACCACGACTCCTAGATCGCATCACACTGCCGTGTCTATGCGAAAGGCTGTTTACTGTGTTTAAGCAATGGCGATAATTGGTCTGGCAAACACTTTAGAAATTAATATACACGTGTTACCAAATAACAAGTCTTATAAAGTT